ATAATTAGGCTTTTAGCAACAACTTATAGCTTAATATCTAAACAAATACAGAAAAACACTTGGTCTAATCTTCATAGAGCCTTCAGCAAGCACTTTTATTACACAGACATACTTTTCAGCTGCCACTGGGTGGTTTCTCCAGAGATGGCTGCCAGGACCTTGACACAGTTCTGGGTGGTGGGTAGGATCTACATGGCCTACATTGGCTGATGCCTTCCAGCCCCAGAAGCTGTGGTCTCTTGGGGGTGGGGGATATGCTGCATGGGGATCTCCTGGCACACACAGGCCTCTCCAAAGCAGTGATGCTCAAACTCACCTCCACTTATGTCCAATGTGGCTGGCATCAGCCCTGTCAGATAGGAGGACCTATGTGGGAAAGGTTGGAGGGAGGGTTGGAGGGATGTGCTCTGTGGGAAGGCTGGATGGCCAGGTGGCAGTTCCATGTGCTCATGGACCCTCTAGCCCTTTTCTGCTCTTATGACATGGGGCCTGGGGGAGAAACCACCCCTCAGCCCCCAACTTTCTGAGGTGTTGCAAAGACCCAGGCCAGCAGAACAAAAGCAGGGGCTTGCAGGCTGGGCCTGACTGAGCACAGCCAGCCTTCACCCTGCCAGGCTGGAAGGGCATGTTCCCTGAGTCACTAGCATGGGGAGGGGGTGGGGGGAATCCTGGGGCAACACAAGCCTGCCTTGGGCTGTGTTGATGGCTCCTCTTCCCCACAGAGCCAGCACGCAAGGATCCCTACCACCTGAGCATGTCCAGTATGGAGAAGTGCACCATCTGCTACGCACGTGTGGCCGACACCCTGCTGTATCCCTGTGGCCATACTGACTGCTGCTATGGCTGTGTCCAGAGAATGCTAGCCACTGATGCCCGGTGTCCCATCTGCCGGCAAAACATCAAGGATGTGGTGAGGATTAGCCTGCGAAGGACAGCCCTGCAGCCCCAATCCTCTGAGGGTTTTGAGAGCACCTGGGAGATGCCTGAAGAGGCCATGCTTGGTGCTGATGGGCATGGGGATGCAGTGACATCATATCAGCTCTGATGAACCCTCCCTGCCCCAAAGGCTGGGTCTGAGATGGCCCCAATGTCTGCGCCCAGCTGAGAGGGAGCAATGCTCCTTGGTACCGAACCAGCCATGGACTGAGGGCTTATAGGTATGTGGAGATGTCCAGTATGCAAAAAATCAATTTATGCAAATGTACATGTATTTATATATCTCTGGACATATAAGGATGCTCTTAAGTGTGATAGATATGTAAAGGGCATAAGCATGGTATGGTATGGTATAGTATTACAGTATTATGAGAATGTAACTACTGTATTGTTTCATATACAATGTGCATCGTTTTCCCTAGTAGGGAGGGATGATAATCATGCTAGCATGATTAATGAGATTAATAAACCTCCTGGCCAGTTTCCTTAAAAGAGCAAGTCTTTTCCCCTCTTCATTCATAGAACCATAGAAGTCGGGTCAAAGGGACCTTGTAGATCTTCAAGTCTGACCCGCCGTCTGGGCGGGAGAAAAAAAACTGGACTCAAATGAGTCCAGCCAGGTAGGCATCAAGCCTCTTCTTAAAGATCCCCAGGGTAGGAGCCAGCACCACTTCCCTTGGAAGTTGGTTCCAGCTCCTAGCCGCCCTAACTGTGAAGCAGTTCTTGCGAATGTCTAATCTAAACCTATTCTCCAATAATTTGTGTCCATTGTTCCTTGTCATGCCAGGGGGCGCTAGGGGAAACAGTGTCTCCCCCAAACCCTTCTGGTCCCCCCTAGTGAGTTTATAGACAGTCACCAGGTCCCCCCTCAGCCTTCTCTTGTGAAGGCTGAACAGGTTTAGGTCCCGCAGTCTTTCAT